TGTCATCAAGATCTCCAATAGCAGGCAAGACCTATGTGGAAAATTTTTATCTTGTGAGACCGAAAGGAATGAACTTCTGAAAATATACGCCGCATATGAAGAGAAAATTGAAATTCTTGAGATGTCGCAAGCTATATTGGAAGAGATGGTCAGTTAGAAAGATGAAGAACTGTAAGACACTAGAGCCACGATTGATATGTGGAAGGGTCAAAGACACTGGAAGACATCCTTGGGTCTCAACAGATGAGTTGTGACAAAAGTAGGCTAGGCTATGGCAATATATCAGTTTAAAAGGGACAGGCCTCTACATCACATAACATCAAGACTCAAACAAAGGAAAAGCTGAAGGTTTAACAGGGTGATCCCTCTATTCATCAACCTAATGGGGGTTAGATCAATAAAAGAGAGGCTTAGAAACTTGGGAAAATTGAAAGGGAAAGTCAAGAATCTAGCTTAAGGTATGTATAAATTAACTAAAACTTGTGGAATACCTCCTCAATTGGTTAAAATCAAGACTTAAAATGGAGATTTCACATTCAATGAGTTAGGGTTTTGAGTTTAACATGGATATGTATATCTATGAGCATAAAAGAGAAAAATTATAGGAAATAACTCAAGATCTTGACATACATGGCATGAGTTCATGAAATTCTTATTCATACACTTATTCTCTTGCATATTTCTTGAGATTTAAAGAGAAAACCCCATAGCTTTTGAGGATTGGAACTCAAAAGTGCTTGTGTTATGATTTTACACATCAATTCAAGGTTTTGATCCTTTACATGGAAAATTGAGTTTTGATTTGAAGTTATGATTTTTGTTTCATGTAATATATGTTTAATTCAACATGTTTTAAGAGTTTTAGGCTTTGAATTGCATGAAAATGAAGTTGAGAGTACAAAAGTTGAGTTCCAAATGTGAAGCAGATTTTTGGATTTTACTCCACCCAGACTGCTCGAGAGGCCTGGGCCACTGCATGAGCGGCCAAGCTTCCCCTACACCAAGTTGCATTCTGCTTAGCTGCCGCATGGCCAAGCCACCACACGAGTGGCCCAGGCCACTGCACATGCGGTCAGTAGGGCAGGCTCAATTTTGTTTTCTTTCCGTATTTCTGACTTCCAGGCCTCTGTTTGCATAGTTTTCAAGTGTTTTTCATATGCGTTTGCATTGCACGAACACAAGAGAAATTAAAGAATGAATAGGAAGAACCGAGCGAGTAAGTAACGAATAAACCGGCTGAACAAATTGATTGAAATGTGTTTTGTTTTGCTTTGTTATGTTTCTGCAGGTTGAGCTGTCAAGGATTATCATTTGACCAAACACTGTGAGTAATGTTACTGTAAAGATATGTTTATATGAATTATATTCGAAATGCTATTTGATAAGTTATGTTTTTTGAAATGTTATTTTGCTTAAGTGAACAAATATACGATTTGAATTCTATCATGACATCCAAAGACAGTCCCAAGTCATGGGTGACAGCATGTTGACGTGAGTCCATGACATACATGTGAATACGAGATCACTTGACTAAATGGTGTTATGCTTGATAATTGTTGTCCGGGACCGATTACTCTAGTCGGATGATGGTATGATATGTTCTGTTGGATGTACCATTATTATGTTCGAATATATGAATGATTTTATTATGATTTGTTTTACAAATATGATATATTTGGAATTCGTTCACTAACCCTTTACTTTAATGTTATTCACTTGACTTTAACTCACTGTGTGTATATATGTGTATAGGTGAGCGACATAAAGAGCAAGCCTAGAAGGAATCTTTTAGTCGAGCTACCATCTGTGAGATTTTGGTGCCTCTGAGTTGAGGCTAGGTCAAGAAGACCGTTGTCAAGTTTGTGATCATGATGTTGAGTTTTTGATATGTGTATATGTATATGAATGATTTTGTTTAAGATGTTATGTATATAATACAGGGTGGGTAAATTAATGTTTTGTGCACGTGTTATTTCATATAGATTCATAACCTATTGGACTACTTGTTGTATATAATTTTTATATTAAGCTTCCGCTAGCCCCCATTATTTTGATTTGTACAGGAAGACCTATGGAAATCTCGGATTACTGGCCAGTTACGACACTAAACTTATAGGGGCGTGTTTAGGTCGTGACAACCATAATCAATAATTTATATCTATTTTATTTAATGATATAAAGTTTTGTAATATTTTATTTCATTTTGAAATAAATATTATTCATTAAATAAATGTTATCTATTTAATTTAATGATTGTAATATTTGATTTCATTTTGATATATATATAAAATTATTCATTTTAAAAGAAAAAAATTACATAATTTTATACTTTTTTAGTCATATTCAAAAAAATATAAGTCATACATAATTAAATACCACCACGTGAAACCTAACCAAACAACTCATTAATCCTAACTAAAATACTCTAGTATACTTTTTCTTTTGTTTGTTTGTTTTTTTATCTTTCATAAATAATCTATATATATAATACATCTATTGTTTATTTTTTGTAAAAAAAAAAAGACCGGCCAAGCTAGGCCTGTGGCCTAGGCACTAATTTGAGTGGGCTTGAGCCAAGGCAGACTCTTCAACCTATGGCTTGACTTGACCCAAAAAGAGACGGGAGCCTGCACAATCTAAAGGCGGGTCAGCTCAGCCCAAACCCAAGTGGGTTGGGGCAGATCCAAATTACACCTCTTGCCCCTAGTTATTATTAATAGTTAAAAGAAGAAAATAAGTTGTTTTTTGGGTAAGTAATAAAAATAAGTTGCTCTCTGTGTTTTATAGTATTTTTCTTTCTCTTCCGTGTGGTTTTCCTATTGGGTGAAAATTTCTTCAAATCATATTGATCCACTTATTATTTATGTAATATAACAGTTACATAAAAAAAATTATTATTTGGTCTGTAATTTTTAAAAATAATTTTTCAAATTTTTAATTCATATTTTTATATTTTAAATAATTTATCAAAATATTTTAATTTTTTTTACCATTTTAAATCTACTTAATCTTGATATACTTAAAAAAATATGTATAAAATTATTACAAAATTTTTAAAAAAATTTATTAAATATACCAAAATACAAAAATGTACTAAATTTTCATTTTTTTGTGTGTATTTTATATTTGGTTATTTTTTTAAAAAAAATTCATAAATATTATATCTTTTAAGTGTATTTATTTTAGGTGTATTTAAAAAATAAAAAAATTTTGTATAAAATATTAAAAAAAGAAGAGAAAATTGGTAAAACATTCATATCCAACTCTGGATGTAGAAGAGGTCCAATATATATATGTTTTCTTATTAGTTAAGGGCTTTCAATAATATTATTAGAAAAAATTTAGTTCGTCACAAAGAAATTTCTGAGAAATTAATATTTCTCTGTAACGAGCTGAAATTTAGATAAATTCGTTGGTTGTTGTGATTTTTTTTTTTTTTTTTTTTGTGTAAAATGTGGATCGGGGTTGATCCCGATATGAATAAAAGGAGTTTGGTGTGCAAAGCTATATGGTATGAATGGAATGGGAAAAAGAGGAAAAATATTGTGAAAGAAAATGAAAGAAAAAATAAGAAAAAAATATATGGGAAATCAAAAAGGAAAGATGGTGTGAAAAAAATAAAGAAAAAAATGGAATTGGAAAAGAGGGAGTTGGAATTGAGTAAATGAAAAAATAAAATAAAATAAAATAAAATAATAAAAATAAAAATAAAAATAAAAAAATAAAGAAATGAAAAGAAGGGGGACAAAAGTGGGGCGGTGGTAGAACCAAAACCAGAAAGAAATAAATAAAAAGAAAAGAAAAGAAAAGAAAGAAAAGAAGAGAAGCACGTGGCCAAAGAAAGAAAAGAAAGAAAAGATGGTGTGGTGGGAGAATAGTGGAGAAAAAAAAAAAAATATAGATAATATATTTCGCTCTGGCCCGAAGAGGAAAAAAACTAAAAAAAGAGGGAGGTGGTGAAAGTGGGTGAGAGAGAGAATGAGGAGGAAACGGAGGAGGAAGCTCCACTGGATCATCACTGCAATTCACTCCATTGCTATCAAACTCGAAAGCTTCGTCGTTGTACTCCATCGATATACTCGGAATCAAAGTCAGTGGCCAGACATTATCGATCTCACAAACGGTGTTCAAGACCGCCGGTTCTGTAATCGATTCCGGCACCGTCATCACTCGCCGCCCTCCGGCGGCGTACGATGCATTGAAAACGGCTTTTCGGGAGCAGATGAAGCAATATCCAATGGCTCAATCCGCGGGAATTTTGGATACCTGGTACGATCTGAGCAAGTACAACTCAGTGAAGATTCCGCCGATCAGCTTCTTGTTCGGCGGCAACGTCGAGCTTCCTCTAGACACGAAGGGGATACTTTACCCCATAAATGGGTCGCAGTTCTGCTTGGCGTTCGCCAGAAACATGGCCGCCTCCGACTTGGCCATTTTCGGAAATGTCCAGCAGCAGACTTTGGACGTGGTGTATGATGTTGCAGGTCAGTGTTGAGAACCGGGGGCTCAAGGCATGTCTGGGGAGGAGGAGAAGGAGCGAGACGAACTTGCGGAGTCTCTCAAAGGTCTCTTCTCCAATCTCTCCACCATTATCAAAGCCGAGCTTCAGGGGACAAACAATCAACTAGAACTTTTGGAGAAGATGAATCTCAAGGTGGCAGAAGAGTACATGGGCTTCGGTGATGTAGCTTCTGGGTTAAGGGTTTTCGTGGCAGCGGATGGAAGGTATGTGTAGAGGTCCGGCGGGCGGCCAAGGCGAGGCTGCCGCCCGCCGGTGAAGCGGAATTACTAAGTTGTTAACCTTGCTCTGATACCATGTTAAAATTGTAGTATTATTGATTGATGAGTTGATTGATATATTGTATTACAAATCAGAGTGGCATTATATAGGAGAGGGTTTGGGTAGTAGGTGAGGAGTAGGTGAGGGTGAATTGGTGGTAGGTGGAGTGTAGTAGGTGAGTGTGAATGGTAAATTCTAACAAGGATTGGAATCATGTAACATGAAAGAGTTCCCCAATTTCCTACAGTTCCAGGATGAATTGGAGTTGTTATTTTTTTATAATAACAAAATTCAAGGTGAAATACCAACTTGGTTTTGGAACAACACTAACGAAAATATTCGAGAGGTCCAACTTGGGAACTACTTTCTGACAGGTTTTGAACAGCATCCAGATGTCATTCCATGGCGGTCACTTCTAATTTTAGACCTCAGTTTTAATAGACTGCAAGGATCACTTCCAATTCCACCACTGTCCACCATTGTTTATGAGGCCACTGGTAACTCGTTATCCGGAGAAATTCCACCATCAATAATCTGCCACAATAGTTCTCTTAAATTTTTAGATTTGTCTAATAATAACTTAGGTGGCACGATTCCTCAATGTTTGCCCAGTTTTAGTGATTCTCTACTGGTGGTCAATCCAAGTCACAATAATTTTCACGGCACAATTCCTGACATGACAGGGATCAACTTGAAGATGATTGATCTAAGTCAAAATCAATTACATGGTCTAGTACCAAGATCATTGGAAAATTGTACAATGCTTGAGATTCTTCTTCTTGGCAACAATCAAATGGAGGGTACTTTTCCCTCGTGGTTGGGAGCTCTTCCTAAGTTACAAGTTCTTATTTTGCGATCTAACAGATTTCATGGTGCCATTAATGTTTCTCAAGCCAAATTAAAATTTGCAAAATTGCGCATCATTGACCTCTCTAACAATGGTTTCTCAGGTAACTTACCGTCAGAATACTTCGAAAACTGGAATGCAATGACAATGGTCAAGAGAGAAAAGTTAACATATATGCAGGCAAGTCAAGGAGTTCCAATTGGAATTGTAAATTCAAGATCGACAGCTCTAACTTTGTATACGAGGCCTTACGTGTATTCAGTAACAATGGATAACAAAGGCACCCACACAGTATACGCGAAAATCCAAACGGCCTTCATAGCTATTGATTTGTCAAACAACAAATTCGGAGGGGAAATTCCTGAATCTCTTGGAAGGCTCAATGGGCTTCAGATGTTAAATCTTTCCAACAACAGTCTCACTGGTGTCATCCCATCATCCTTGGCAAATTTGACCGAGCTGGAATCATTGGACCTTTCGCAGAACTTGCTCTCAGGAGAGATCCCTCAACAACTCTCCCAACTCACTTTCCTTGAATTCCTAAACGTTTCTCACTATTGTTTATTTTTTGTTAAAAAAATAAAAAAGACCGACCAAGCTAGGCCTATTGCCTAGGCACTAATTTGAGTGGGCTTGAGCCAGGGCAGACTCTTCGACCCATGGCTCGACCTGACCCAGAAAAAGACGGGAGCCTGGACAATCTAAAGGCAGGTCGGCCCAGCCCGAACCCAAGTGGGTCGGGGCCGGATCCAAATTACCCCCCTTGCCCCTAGTTTTTATTAATAGTTAAAAGAAGAAAATAAGTTGTTTTTTGGGTAAGTAATAAAAATAAGTTGCTCTCTGTGTTTTATAGTATTTTTCTTTCTCTGCCATGTGGTTTTCCTATTGGGTGAAAATTTCTTGAAACCATATTGATCCACTTTTTATTTATGGAATATAACAGTTACATAAAAAAAAATTATTATTTGGTCTGTAATTTTTAAAAATAATTTTTCAAGTTTTTAATTCATATTTTTATATTTTAAATAATTTATCAAAATATTTTAATTATTTTTTTTTACCTTTTTAAATCTACTTAATCTTAATATACTTAAATTAATATGTATAAAATTATTACAATTTTTTTAAAAAATTTATTAAATATACCAAAATACAAAAATATACTAAATTTTCATTTTTTTTTTGTGTTTTTTTTTGTGTGTATTTTATATTTGGTGATTTTTTTTAAAAAAATTCATAAATATTATATCTTTTAAGTGTATTTATTTTAGGTGTATTTAAAAAATAAAAAATTTGTATAAAATATTAAAAAAAGAAGAGAAAATTAGTAAAATATTCCTATCTAACTTTGGATAGTAAAAGAGGTCCAATATATATATGTTTTCTTATTAGTTAAGGTCTCTGAATAATATTATTAGAAAAAATTTAGTTCATCAGAGAGAAATTTATGACAAATTAAAATTTCTCTATAACGAGCTGAAATTTAGATAAATTTTTTTGTAAAAATATTGAAAGACCCCAACTACTATAAAAATATTATATGTTGATCTTGTAAAATACTAATATGAGAGATCTTAAATAAAAAATTCTTAAAAATACGAAAAATAAAAAATTTAGGGGTTGTTTGGAATGTATTAAACAAGTGCACTTTTTGAATTTTTGGGCTAAAAAGTTGAGGAAAAAAAATATGTTTGTTTGGCTTAACTTTTTGACTTTTTATGAAAAAATGTGTATTAAAAAATTATATAAATTAATGTGTAGGGGAAAATTAAGATTGAGAGTTGTGCAACCATAATTTTTGACTTTTGATAAATAGTGATAACTTTTTAACTTTTTGAATAACTTTTTGACTTTTTAACTTTTTTTAATTTGCCAAATTTAGCCTTAATTTAAAAAAAAAGAAAAAGAAAAAAAAGAAGGGTAGATAAAACCAAACAAGGTTATTTTTTTTAATTTTATTTTTTCAGATTGATCAACCTCACCCAATATGTTAGGTTATTGCGAACTCGATAAAAATTCAAACACCATCAGAGATTCCTTCAAGAAAAGCTCACACTCTTTTATACAAGAATACCAATCATCATACAGCACATATAACTAAGGTAGTAGAAATACTCTTTTGGTTCTAATTAGGATCAAAACAACAATTATAAAGGTTTGTAGTACATGTACCAATTAATCTATGAATCCATCAATTCAAATATTCAAACACTTGATGAACTCTCATGAAGAAGAAGAAAGAGAAGAAGAACAATCGTCAATCGAACTCAAAATAAGAATGGCATAGCCGAGAAACCAGGGCTCGCCATCAACATCGAACCTCTCCTGCAAATCACCACCACACAATAGTTAATTCTTCATTCATCAATCATCAGATCCCAAAAAAAATAAATAAATAAATAAAATAAATAAATAAATTAAATTGTTACCTGTAATTATCACAGTGGCTAGAAGATCTAGCGATGGCCGTGGATTTGGATTTTTCGGAGGCTTTTTTGTTTCTGTTTTCAGTCTTTTTGGCACCGAGATCCGAGACCACACTGTCCTCCGAAATCGCCGAAAGATCCGGTTTCCGGTGCGCCGAGGGGTTTACTTTCATCGAGCGGCGGCGACTCCGAGAAGGCAGAGGCCGAGCCACCTCTTGCTGCGGCGGCGGAGTGGCGGCGATGGCACCACAACACCACCGGAATTCTAAGAAAAACTTCATCAGATTCAGCTTTGAATGAATATTCTCTTTCTCTCTCTCTCTCTCTCTCTCTCTCTCTAACACACAGTGAGTCAGATGGAATTTGCGCGACTGAACGACTGAATCTTATATAGGGAGACCCTAGAGAGAAAGAGAGATGAAATTTTGTCAACGTGGAGTTTGTATATTGGTTTATGAATTTCCAAGTTAGGTTTTGTCCCTATCTAATGAGAATCCTAGTTGCTTTAGTGAATAAAATAGGATGAATTACAAACGCAATCCTGAGATTTCATTAATATACGAATTACTTCTTATAATTGTGGAAACTATATTCTATTATTGAACTTTTTAATTTTATAACAAATCATTATTTTTAGTAATAAATTATTAAATTAATTAATAATTTTTAATGATATTAAAAATATGTTTTAATTAATAATTTAAGTAATTTTATTATTGTATAATAGAGTAATTATGAATTTCATTTTTTAGTTAATTCTGTTAAATAAAAAATTCTAATAAAAAGTATTTGTAATTTTTTAAATTACATGGAACAATCTATATTTTAAACAAATTTTAAAGGGTATATTTTATAATTTATCCAATAAATATTATGTATTCGGCAATTTTTATTACAGGCAATTTTAAACTGGCCCACGGCCCGTGGGCGGGGCTCGGCCCGGCCTGTTGACAATGCTGAATGTTCACATTGACCATGTTAACTATTCACCATTTGATAAGAGTATAAAACTAGACAGCGCAGCCAGGGCGGGCCACGGACTCGTCCGGCCCGGCCCGTTGACAATGGTAATATTCCACATTGACATGTAACGATTCAGTGTAAAATTGGCCCCCGTCCCGTGGCGGCGCGAAAACCCTCCCGCGGCCATGGCCGGCCCAGGGCGGCCCCGGTCCGGTCCGTTGACAATGTGAATATTTCACATTGATAAGGGTATAAAATGTTAATATTCACATTGATATAGAATATCTCAGCATTGACATGCTAATATTCACATTGAATAAGAGTATAAAAATGGGCCCGCGGCCCATGACGGCCAAAGCCCGTCCGCGGCTCGGGGGCGGCCCGGCCCGTCCGCGTTGAAATGTGAATATTCACATTGACAATGTTAACATTCACATTGATAAGAGTATAAAAATTGGCCCGCAGCCCGTGGGCAGCCCGAGCCCGACCGCAGCCCGAGGCAGGCTGGCCCGACCCCGTGACAAATGGAATATTCACATTGACATGTTAACATGCACACTGATAGGAGTGTAAAATTAGCCCGCGCCCCGTGACTGTCCGAAACCCGTCCGGGCCCGGCCTATTGACAATGTGAATATTCAATTGACATGTTAATATTCACATTGATAAGAGTGTACAATTGGCCCGTGGGCCACGGGGCGCGGGCTAATTTTACATTCTTATCAATGTGAATGTTAATATGTCAATGTGAATATTCACATTGTCAACGGTCCGGACCGGGCTCGCTCCGGGCCGTCCATGGGACGCGAGTCAATTTTACACTCTTATCAATGTGAATGTTAATATGTCAATGTGAATATTCACATTGTCAACAGGCTGGGCCGGGCCCGCCCACGGGCCGTGGGCCAGTTTCGGGCAGCCACGGGGCACGGGCTAATTTTATACTCTTATTAATGTGAATGTTAACATGTCAATGTGAATATTTGCATTATCAACGGGTCGGGCTGGGCCCGCCCAGGGCAGCCCACGAACCGCAGGCGGGTTTTGGGCCAGCCACAGGCCGCGGGCTAATTTTACACTCCTAGCAATGTGAATGTTAACATGTCAATGTGAATATTCACATTGTCAACGAGCCGGGCCGGGCCCGCCCCGACCCGGGCCCGGGCTTCGGGCTACCCATGAGTCATGGGCCAATTTTACACTCTTGTCAATATTAATGTTAATGTTAATATGTCAATGTGAATATTCATATTGTGAACGGGCTGACCCGGGCGACGGGCTGGTTTCGGGCCGCCCACGAGCCGCAGGCTAATTTTACACTCCTATCAATGTGAATGTTAACTTGTCAATGTGAATATTCATATTATCAACGGGCTGGGTCGGGCCTATTTTTTTGGCTTGTGGGCCGGCCTGGCCCGACTCGAATTTTTCCGGGCACCCACGAGGATCGACATGAGCCGGGCCCCTACACATTGACGATATAAACATTTATATTGACGGTGTGAACATTCACATTAAGGGTATTTTGGTAATTATGCCACCCATAGGACTTATTGAAACATAAGAAAATAATGTGAACTAAATGGAACATAAGCAGATGAAAAGGGTTTTTTGGTCTTCTTATCTCAAATTGGACCTAATGGAATAGTCAAAAAGAATATGGGTTGGATGGAATAAAGCTCTTAGAAAATGGATTTATCAAAAAAGCTCCCATAAAATATTTATGTATTCGGCAATTTTTATTTTTTGAGAAACTTTTTAATTTTACCGTTTTTGTGGAAGCCTAGCAAATTCAGGAACTTTTTTTATTTGTTAATATTTCTTTTCCCATCTAATATTTTATCTCTTCTAGGGTGTTAAGGATTTGTAGATTATTGAGACAGGATTGGACTTCTTTCATATTACCATATCAATTTAAGAGATCATTTAGATTTTGTTAGATTTATTTTAGTATCGATTGTAGTGATTTGAATTGTTTATTTTTTAAAATTTACTAAGTAAAATATTTATTTAAAAAATTAAAATAATTAGATATCGGTAACTATATGTTTCAATCATATTCGTTTTAAAGATCAAACGGTAAATATAATTTTAAAAATAATCATTCATTTTATATAATACAAATTTGATTCAAACATATAGCTATTGATATCCGATCATATTTATTTTTTGCTTAACGAATCCTAAAAAATGAACGGTTTGAATCACTAAAATCAGTTCTAAAATGAGTCTATCAAATCCAAATATTCTCTCAAATTGAGATAACTAACTTAAAAGAAGCTAAACCCATTAGGAAACAATTATCATAGCCGTTTGCTCTTTTTTCTTTCATCTTTTTTATTAATTACTTTTGGTATCATATTTTGTTTTAATGTTTTAAAGGAGTTGGCATTATGTTGCTGAATTAGCAAGGATTTTGATAGCACTTGTCTTGTCTTGTCTTGCTATTTTAGCTTAAGAGTTTAACATGCTTTAAAAAAAGAGATATGTTGTACATGGCCGTCCTCTAAACTAAAAAATTTACAAATAGTCAATAACAAAGTGCGAAGTTAGGATCGTTTTGAGAATTAATTAATTTAATTAATTTTTAAATATTTTATAAAAAGTTGTGTAAGAAAAATAAACAAAAGAGTCAATTTTTTGATAATAACTTTTTGATTTTTTAATTATTTTAGATTATTACCGAACTTGCCCTCAATATTACATTTCTACTCTTTTTCTCTTCAATTGCAATGCCCCCAAATTACTTAAATTAAAACATTCCTCAAAATATGATTAATTCGAAATCTTATCATGACCATAATGACATTATCTCAAAAAGTCATCTTTTCCGCTGAACTAAGGTTTCAAAATACGAGTTTTATGTTGATCTATTAAATACAAAAATAATAACATGGTTAAAAAAGCTAGATGATGAAATAAAATACCTTAATGGCTTTCACTTAAACAATGCATGGCCTTGTACAACAAAATTGACTCATGGTCCCAAAACATATACGCTCAGAGCTTCCACATATTATATCCAAGAGCCATCGTACTCCATCAACAAAAGAGTTTTCCCATCATAGTCATTAAGATGGTTGCACATCACCAATTCCTAAAATTGTTAGATAGGAATGAGGTAGATGTCCAGTAGAAATACTTTTAATAAAATATCTAATTATTCAAAAATTCATATGGCATTATTATAACCAAAAATATTTTATTATTCAATACAAATTAGAGTTTAATCAACGAAAACTTACATGTTGTAATTCCCATAAAAAAAGTCATCATTCAACACCAGGGGTAAATATGCCATGAAGCCCCTAAGGAGAGTCCCAACACATACATATACATAGGTTTATATGAAAAAATATTTCCATATTTGTCGGCTATTAATACAATAGGAGATGGACACCCAAAATCATTTGTTTTTTTTACTTTTACCGACTACAATATAGTAGGACTAGTGGATATACCCAAAAATATTTTCCACATTCGTCTAGCAATAAGCTTAAGACAGGGCAATTGAGCACCTAAACCTTCCCCGTGCGAGTACCACAACACACAACACTTAACAAAGTATACTCCCTACCTGGGCTTACACGCTATTTACTACCCCTCAAAACAATCTTTCCAAGGCTTCCAAATATTAATACACTCATAAGAATAAAAGTAATCTTTCACTATCTACGCAATTGAGATAAATACCAAGTAACAATTTTCAAAATCTCAAATCAAATCTCAAGAACATTCCAATTTCCCAATTCTCAATTCAACACTTCTCAAATATCATAATCAAATCACCAAAATTTTAAGGAATTAAAGACTAATTTCTTTTCATTACATTATCTTAAATTAAAAAAAAAAAAAAAAATTGGGTTCTATCAAATTTGAGGCTTTTGCCCGTCCTTCATATCAAAGGCCATTTCTTATGTAAAATTTCCATAATCTAAGAAAATTAGAGAAATCTTGAGAAAATAATAAAGAAATTCCACTTCTTTGAAAAAAACTTGCATTTATAAACCCAAACATTCATCAATTCACAAATGTCATAACAATACCACATAATCATATTCAAATCAAAAAGACACAAGGTTACAAGTAATCCTAGTTCAAAAATCAAGACCGAGAAGCTAGATTATTGAAGAACTTTAAAATCCCAATCCAATCGATAGAAAGCTTTATCCTTACCGAAACTCCAACTTTTGCAAGCAATGGGGTTGTGAATCTGAGTAGAACGGAAGATTTCTAGAGAGATATGGCTAGGGTTTTCAGAGTTAGAGAGAGAGAGAGGAGAGAAGAAAGGAAAGAAAAAGTGAAGAAAATGAGTCCCGTTCTGTTCATTTTGTGGGGTCACTACAGCTCGGACTCTCAAATTGTCACGGTTCTTAATCTGAACCAAAGAGTACAAATCCGGCAAATCGTTTTGAGAAACAGATTTTTGAAAAGAAGTGTCAAACATGGACTGCTTTGCCAGATACAGA